ATAAAATGTGAAGTGAGCAGTCACACTGAAAAACATCAGATACATTCAATGCAGTGCCACATAATGAAAAGGCCTGGGTCGGATTTGAAAAAGAAAAAAAGGATTTGTCACTTTCAAACTGTCATGAAAAAAATCCAATATGGGTTGCAAGTGTCTGCAGTCTGAACAAAGCCTAAGTTGTCATGCTGCTAGTCACCAAGCAGAAGAACTGACGTGCAACATACAAATAACTTAGTAMGCTGTCACATTAAAAAAACCAACAAACACAAAAGCATGGGGTACCTTTATTTTTTTTACACCATGGGCCTATAAATGTTCATCAGCAGAAACAGGCATCTGCACATTAACAACATACCGAAAAGGTTCACAGAAACAGTACTATGACAAAACGTATGTCACGTGCATCCAAACCCTTGGTCGTTCACAGTTCAACAAAATGGAACACCTTTTACATAACTTATTGACAGTGTTACTTTAAGACAGCTCCTTGTCACTTAGTACGTGAAAACTGTAGAAAGAAATGTTTTAACTCTGGCATTCAGCAAAAATGAAAGGTTAAGCTGAATATCGGAATGTGGGGTTAGGTTATTAAGTGCTGCACATGGAGATGTATTTGACGTGTCCAAGCATTCATCRGGCTTCAGCTCATTCTACTGCAGCTCACATCTAGCCACCCTATGACATCAATATTCTTGTATGCAGAGTCCCACTCCACTCCATTTTATCATATCCAGTGGCAAATGCACGTTTCTCTGTCTGTGTGTGATGGTGCATGTGATAGCAATAGCCTCACTGGTGAAATAAAGCTCTCTGGGGGCTTGTGTCTCAACTGTAGAGCCTTTCTACCCTCCCATTACTTCTGACAGATAGAGATCACTAAACTGCTGAACAAACACCCCATTCAGTAATTTGCATACATTACAGTTATGAAATGAGGAAAAATGTATCAATGAAGCCAAATGAAGTGTTTCAGTTAAATCTGTCTCTTTATTTCTTTATTTCATTTGTTGAAATCATTTCTTCCTAAATTTGACCTTTCAAAATGGGAAAAGTGTTCTAACATTAAACTAAAATGAGAAAAAAGTATGCACATAATGCATGCTTTATGTCAAAAGCTTAAATAAAACTATGCAAAGATTTACTGCATTAAAAAAAGCTCCCTGTGGCCACCGCCTGTTTATCTTTATATTGGAAGAAAACTGGCAAACGTCACACTGAAACCAAGACACAAAGTCAGCTACATGCACTGTAAATTACTCCTTTTTCTTTGCTTTTCTGTATCGCTCACACACACTCAAATACAGGCTGTCTCATTCATCACAGGACACAACAGTCAAGACAACTGGGCTTCGCTTTACTTTTTCAGGGTTACCCAAGCATCAAATGCATGACTTTTAGTTGCTGTTGTTTTCCCATCTGTTATGCTTCATGGAGCCAACATCCTTTTTTATTCCAAGATAAAGTTTAAGAAATGGAATCTTTGCCTTTTATGTGCGGCATTATTGCTGCCAATCTAAAACAACCAACAATCGGTCCCTCCGTCATCGTTCAAACACTACGTCGTACAACACTGATTGCAATTATGAGCACTAAAACCTAATTCATCATTAAAGGAGGAACCATGCAAAATTGACTTTTATAAGCCTTATATCAGGCTATAATGTAATTGTCTCATCAAAAACATACCCAGACTGCTGCTTTGACTCATTCATGCATGTTTGAGAAAGCCTTGCATCTCATGTGGTAGCCATGACGAGCTGCCCAAACACTTGCTGGTACAAAGCACCGCCTATTGTACCTAGCTCCTCCCTCGAGATCTGTGTCCAGCCCAGCTCCTCTCTAAGGCCAAGCTTCTCGTTCCTAAAGACACAGAGGCTAATTTCAAGGCATTTTGCGATACAAAGCTATGATGCAAAGCCAAATTTATTTTTGATAAATACAGCCTTTTCATAACAACTGAAGATAACATAGTTATGTGACTGTGGTATAGAATTAAACTATGTGTCTGGAAAATACATAACACCCCCCCCACCCCTAAACAAAATTTACCTGTGTTTTCTTACAGTTAAAATATAATAAGAACAGGTCACTATCAAATACTTGTCTAATCTTTGGACACAATTTGAATTATAATTTACTTTCTTTTACATATTTTTGATTTGTATTCTAACAATAAACACACTGCTGACTACAGAGGTACTTGGAGAAAAAATAAATCTGAATTAGCAATATATACTAGGTTGATTTTATAACCTGATGCACAGTCTGCACTATGTCAGTGTTAGCTAAGTTTGGATCAGTGAGAACAAGTGTTATCAACAATTGGATTCAGGACAATTCAGGACAGGGGCTCTCACTGTTAAAGCAGAGAAAAAGAAGGTTAACACAGCTGTGGCGCAGTGGTAGACTTAATGCCAGAAAGTTATAAGTTCAATTCCTTGCCATCCCCATTTGTTGGGCTGTCTTTGAGCAAAATGCCTATTCCCTACCTGCTCCCTGGGTGTTGACATAACTGCATGCTGCTTCACGTTGGTGTATCTCATGTGATGGGTTAAATGCAGAGCACGACATGTCATCATTGTATGAGAACATTGAATGATGACTATACAGAGAGAGCTCTCAATTTCATGATGAACAGGAATATATTCCATCAATTCCTTTTTCATTCTGCTTTATGTTGGCTTGGAGAAGGAACAGATCACATCTGTAAAATAAATACTTAGCAGAGTTATGTCTTGCCACGCTGAAAAATGACTAAACTGCGAGAGAACTGATGAAAGGTATTTCTGTCGGTTAAACTGTTTTTCAAATTAACCTGCAATCATGTTTTCTTCCACTGAAATGGACACAAAACTGCTAAAGATAACAGATGTAACCCAGTTTAATTAGCTGAAATTATGGCGGAGAGACACTGATGTGTAATGAGTTTTGGAGATGCGCCAACGGTCTGAAACTCAAACTGAAATTCTTCATTTCTACACAAGAGTATCTTGAGGGGGATCTGAAGAAACTGGCTGTTTATCAGTCAAATTTGCCTTTTATTATCAGTGCATGGCTGCATCGCCTCTCTTTATTTAATTTTGTCATTGTACTGACATTGTT